ATAATTCAGCATCCAGAAAATTTGAAATAAGATATTTCTTGTTGAAAATAATATATTTCAACAAAAATGTAAGGTTTAGGAGAAGTATGTTCATTTGGATGCACTAAATACATGACTGGTTCTTCTTTTGCTTGAATTACTGCATCAGTGCAGCATGGCATGGAGGTGAAAAGCTTGTGGTTCTGCTGAGGTGTAGGAAGCCCAGGTTGCTTTGATACGTCAATCTTCGGAAACCTGTAATTATAAGGTTCATGATGCAGATTTCTGAATAAAATCTGCATTAAATAGACTTCAAACGTAGCAGCTGTATGTCTGGTGATGTTTACTTTCCAAATCTGGAACTTTTCAAAACCTAGTTGTAACTTCATATAATTTACCAACCCTTCTTTATTATGCATCGCTGGATGCACACAGAGACAGACAGAACAAACAACCATGCACACACACAAATAGGGAGAATTTAAGGAGACAAATTTACCTGACAGTCATGTTTGTGGACTGTGGGAGAAAGACCCTGGGATGGTAATTGAACCCAGGGTCTTCTAGGGAAGGACCTTCTTGGCACTATAACACTGTAACAGTGCTACCAACTGTGCCACTGTGCAGCCCAGTACAAGTCATTCACTATTAATATTTTTAGAATTATTTCACATGTGCAAATATGTTTTGAATATTGAGGAAAAAGCCATCATTTTATCATAAGCTGGAAATTTTTGAAAAATCCATCATTACGAGTCAATGTATTCATTGGGGAAAAATGTTAATAAATTATTATTTTTATCTAAATCACTGGTGCCAGAATTACTGTTACTCCAAGTAAGTTTTCATTTGTGATCCATGAATTCACTGGCCAACTGCTTTAAGAAGCAGTTGGCCAGTTCAAAATGGGAAAGAATAGAGGACATTCACCAAATCACCAAAATCATCAAATCACCTTTATTTATCTTGGAGTTTTCACCTACTTCAGTGCAGAAGCAAATTGACAAAAAATAGGGAGGGTTCTTAACTTTGATGCCTTTAACAAGTGGAAAAAGTCTGCTTGTTTTGATCTGTCAATGTGAAACTTGACAGATGTATACATCTATATACATAGGCATATGTATATACTTAATGCCTTTTTCACACAAAAAGGCATTAATTGTCAAGTAAGCAGAGATAATGAATCAAAGTCTAAGAAGTAATTTTCCAGCATAAATCAACAAGTGCTCCCACAGAACAGCTTGAATGGCTATAGATGGCGAAGACAGACAGCTAAACTGCAGCCCTTGCTCTTGACAAAGAAAGAAACCTGCTCAGCTCTGAGCAGCATCCAGCCATGGAGATTAACACAGAGCCATCAGCAGCATCGCAGTCCCTCCCTATCCTGCTTGTGCTGTCAGGCCGCCTCCGAGCTGCTTGTCAGAAGCTCCGACGAGGAGCTGTAAAAACCTTTTCCCCTCTCCTTAACAACTGCAAAACAACATGCACACTCTCCGACTGAGGTGCCTGCTTTTCTGAGGCCTCTGACAGGACGTGCTGCAGGCACAAATTGTAATTCATAAAGGTTAAGGGGGTCAATGCCTTTTATTACCAGTCTGAGTGCATCCAGCTTGATGGGGCGGGCATGCAAATGGAATGTCTCACAGCAGTCTATGCAAGAACTCAGACAGCGAGTGCGTGCATACCGGCTAAAGTGGGGGAAGTAAAAGGCGGGTAAAGCGTGGCGTGGTGTAGTGGGATGGGCTGCACTCTCCACCTTCCACAGCCATGTAGGGACCACACAGCCGCTGGCCGGTTAATTAGATAGTATGACATTGACCTCAGGTAGTTAATGGCCACTTTGATATGTGCTGTCTTGCAATTAATGCAGTGTAGATGTTCATGTTTTACCATTTGGTTAGATGTGACCTATAAGAATCTGCATTACACTCTGGCCTATTGTTCACTCTTTGGTTTTACATCTTGCATTACCAGAAATGAAAAACATTGAGTATATTTTATGGTAGTTTTGCTTTGAAAATCCTCTCACACCACACACACACAAAGAAATAAATAAAACAGTATTGTAGATTTTAGTATGGAACCAAATTCTGAGAGGAGAGGATACAACTTTTTACATCCTTATGTTAATTCTGAGATCAGAAATACAAATATTCTATTTTCTCACCTGCTGGAAACATTGTAAAGGAATAAAATCTGATTTCATCTTGTAGTTACTGAGGTAACGATAACCCCAGTAACAAAGGCAATGAACACATCAGACACCATTGCGCCCTCTTCTGGATCTTTAGTAGAACAACAATACATTTTTTAGTCCTAAAACTGTTGCTAAAGTTTATTAATTGTTGACAAATACGGAAAAAAGGTGATTGTACTGATGACATAAAAAACATAAAGTACATAAACCTTTACTAGTTGAGATAAAAATTACAAGGACTTGCAACTGTTTCTTGTACTGTTCTTTATCGCTATAGAAGTATGCAACTTGCATGGCTCAAGTACCTGCAATGGATGAGCAGTGACATTTTTCAATATTTAATTTCAATATTTTTTATTTGTTTGTTTGTTTGTTTGTTTGTTTGTTTGTTTTGGGGGGTCACATCTTAATAAAAAGATACATATTTAAAACAACACTAAAAAATTCAGTACTCTGAATCATGTACAAAATTTCAATTTTAAATGTAAAATAAGTTATATATCTTTTATAGTTGAACTTCAGGACTTTTTGGAGCAAATCTAAGAGCAATGCAATGAAAATGTAAAGTTTTAAGTTTCTCAATAAATTAGAAAAGCTTTAAAAAGTTAATTTGTTTTAGTAATCTGATTCAAAAAGTTAAAGACCTAAATAGATTCATTGGAAAATTAAGTGGGGAAAAAATGTCAGAAAAAGTGCACATGAAACAGCGATAACTGCAGTATTGAGAGGGTTGTGAAGCAAATCTCATTTCAATATTTTTGGAGATATGCATTAGGCAGTCTCTATGACTGACCAGAGACTGTTATCTAATAGCTTCACTTTTTGAAGTGACACTTTTGACCTTTTTGCTGATATCCCAACTTTTTAAAGATGCTCCTGTGTTTAAATCAGAGCAACCTGTTAAACTATGCGTCTAAACCAGCATATTTGGTTATCATGTTGTACCAATGACAAAGTAAAATAAAATGGTGAGAGCCAGAACAGAGAAAAACAAAAATAAAGCAGTATAGTATTCAGCTGTTGTTTGCTATCCTAATAAATAAGATCTGTCACTGTCTTCTTCAGTGCTTGGTTCATACTGTGTGTGATGCACCAGCTGATTCTCCTCACTGCCTAAGAGGTTAGGAATCTGTGGCTTTATGTTCATTGTGAAACTGAAAAGATCATACCTGAGGAGCCACTGGGACTCTCCTCCCTTAAAGCCTGGTGTGCAGCAGAGGCAGGCTCCCTTTGCTCATTACCTTTCCATCACAGACCAGCTGCTGCGGAGTCATTCATCACGATTATAAATCTGCCTACTGCTGGTAGCCTGCAGCTCCACCATCAACCTGCAAGTCACAAAGATATCACCTGGAGCCATCAGCCGCTCCAGACACAGTGCTAAATTAAACAGGTGATAGCTAAAAACAGGTTGTTGTTGTTTTTTCTTTGAAAAGAAAAAAAAACTAAATTCTGAGAATCACAGAATCCTGTATGGTTTGCAAATGTTTTTAGAAAAATAATTAAACTGGACCTGTGTAAGGCATGGTAAGAAATATAGCTAAAGCACATGAATGTCAAAAAGGTCTTGTCTTAGGAAACAACAAGCACCTGACACATGACTGAAAGATGCAAACATATTAATGCAAGATGCCTGCATCTGATTCTTCAAATGTTGATGAGAGTTGCCACAGATTCAGCTAAGATGAGAAACCAGCATTAAGTTTACGGTTGTGAAATTGACAGAAAATTAGAGAAAAATTGAAATTCTTTAGAAATTTATTGCTGCCTCTCACAGTGTTTATTTCATATGTTTTTCGGGTTCTGTAGTATTCATGCTGCTGACAGAGAAAAGCATTTCCACTGGGTAGAGTACACAAAAACTGAGCTAAATTAAGAATAGCACTGCCAAGCTATTTTTAATCAAGCAAAGGTGAAAAGTAGTTGTAAATAACACAGAGTTAATTTCTGTATTAGCTTGTGTTTCTTTTTAAAATTTTGCCTTTTTTTAATTTTAACTATGATTAACTTCCTGTTTGGGGTTTCATGCTTATGTTTTGAAGGGACAGTTTCCTGCTTAACTGTTGACATGAAAGCACCTTGACAGGAAAAACAAGACCGAAGATGTAACGGACAAAAAGTATCTTGTTACTTTACAAATGTATGTCGAAACAAAATGTATTTTAGGTTGTAATAGTCATTAGTGTCGATGCTGTAGGCATTCCTCCACTTTTTTCCGGACACATTTCCGCAGTTAGCTATTTCTGCATACTTTGCGCTATTTCAGCCATTCAATTTTTGCTGTTTCAGGACATTACGGCTATGTATATTGTTATTGATATCTCCTACGGCTTAGGAAATATGAAGCATTGAAATGAATGGAACATCCTGTAATTTCTGAAAAATTCAGCTAAAATCTTTAAGCTCTTTCGTAGCTAACTATTTCCACATACTTTCAGCTAGAAACGCCATTGAAACTTCAAAATGTAGTAATTTTCTTCAATTCTGTTTATTTCAGTTGTTCATTACGTGTTTAATAAAATCTCTCTTCAAGTTTTTGTTCGCATTATGCTCAGTCTTCTCGAAAAAAAAAAAAATAAAACAACTGGCTCTGAAGGTTCACAAACCTCCATCCTGCCTACCTTCCAAACCTACGTGCAAGATGTTTAAAGAACAAAAATGGCCAAAGATGAATCTTTAAATGAACATTCGCGTTCATATGAATAAAAACGGCCATGAATGTTAATGACGATATGAACATTCATCTTTGGCCATTTTTTTGTTCTTTAAACATCTTTCACTTGCGTGACTGTGTTGCTTTGTCTTGTGTTAATTTTCAATAAAGTTTTCGTGACGTGACCTTCCACTCACATCCGGGACTCTTGCACATCACGACGCGCAGGCGCTTTCTCTCCTCCACTGTGGTTCGACCTCTGCAGTCGGTAAGTCTGTAATGGCATTTTGAATGAGAAGCGAATCTTCATAAATCTATATTCATCCTCTCGCTTAGCTTCGCTTTGCTCTATACAAGTGTGAACAGCATGCAGGATGGATGTGAATAGACATTCAAATGTCTTTATTTTGTAAGTTGGGCATTTTTACAGCCGTTTGACCTTACTTCTCCGCTCTTCCTTCTTCAGAGAGACCCGGGCTTCTTCCAGATTTGACCGAACCGGTTAAAACTACCTAAAGAACAAGATGTATGCCTGTGCAAAGTTTGTGTCCACGCCGGCTGTGGTGAGTTAAAAATCTCCTATCCGAACTGTTTAGTTATAGTTAGGGTTTATGATGTAGGCCTCCTATTGAACTTGAATAGCTTGATGCCAAGGGTATCCACCGACTAGGCCTGTAAGCTTAGCCAGCAGCTAATGCTAAACCTAGCCCAGGCTCTCTCACATAAAGTGCTACATTAGCGTTTGCATGAGCTCTGTTTTAGGTCTCTTAAGTTAAAATGTTGTGCTACAATTGCTTTTACTCTTAGCGGACATCTTTAATGAATAATTTTGGATAAGGTCATTTAAACTCATTGTTAGCCCAACGTAGCTAACCGTGCTGCAAGAATTAAAAACATTTACATTCAAAGCAATTAGTTTACATGTTCATTGCCTATCTGATCATACTGTCAGGTGTTTGTAGACCAGACACTTTCCTATCTCCAAGGTCATGTTACCGCATACATATCTTCTAATAAGTTAGTCTATGTACTCTGCAATAATATCTTGACAAATTCTACAGTAATGGAAACTGAGGACATTTTAATTGCCAATATGCTGTTTAACAAAACGAAATAAACTTGTTAGTGTAAACAACATTGGGAGACTGTTTTGAATACCACAGTTGTCAGTTGGCATTCAAACACTGGCATTCAAGGTGCCTTTCATATGCACTTGCATGTGATAACATGGACAGGTGTTCTGCCATCAAAATGAATTAAATGTAACTTTTCATGTTCTGTTTTTGCAGGTGCGTGCTGGTTCCCGGGCTCTTTACAGACCCCTGTCTGCCTCTGTACTGTCAAGGCCTGAGGCCAAAACAGAGGTCAGGATTCTAAGCTTTACATCAGCTGTTTACATTTTTAAATAAATTTTTAATTACAATTAAAATCAATTCAGTAATTGTGTGACCTAATGAAGTTGATGGAAAATGCAGTATTTTTTTTACTCTTGTAAAATTTCATATTTAAATTTTGATGCATGTGTCCTGACTTTAGGCCACAACTGGTTCTTTTGTGGTTTTTCATATTTGACTTTGTCATTGTTAATATTTTATTGCACTTAAACCTTAAAAGTTCTGACATTTAGTCATTTCCCACTGCAGAGTATGGTTGCTGTGATGCCACAGAATCCCCTCACCCAGGTCTCTCTGAGAGGCTTCCAGACCAGCGCCATCAGCCGGGACATTGACACTGCTGCCAAGTTTATTGGAGCAGGAGCTGCCACAGTTGGAGTTGCTGGATCTGGTGCTGGAATTGGGACTGTGTTTGGTAGTCTCATTATTGGCTATGCCAGGTTTGTTTTTAATTTTAACAAAAATATGTAGCAGCAATTTGCACGCCAGTGTTTTTTATTGATTTAATTTACTGGTGACTTGTTTATAGGAACCCATCTCTGAAGCAGCAGCTGTTCTCCTATGCCATCTTGGGTTTTGCCCTGTCTGAAGCTATGGGACTCTTCTGTTTGATGGTCGCTTTCCTTATCCTGTTTGCTATGTAAAATCATCCCTCTGCAACAGTTTCCTTCCACAGATGTGACTACATATTTTATTGTGGCTACCAAAATTGTTCCGTGTTGGTGTCATGAAAATGTACATTTTTCAAGTCTTTCAGACACTGTCCAAATAAGCAAAACATGTATTGTACAAATGTAAGATCTTACACAATTAAAATACATGGATTTGACTATTTAGTAATGGCAGTTACTTTTGTCTGGAACATCACACTGTTCAAATGGGAAGCGTTTAGCTTTTGTGAATGTCATCTTTTTCAGGATTTGCTTAGATCTACCATAAACCTCGTTTTCACCTAGCCTTTTGGGGTCCACCTTAATAACTTTGACATTCAGCTGCAGTTAATTCTGTAATTAGACGGCAAGTGGCAACTTGCTTTTGTATATGGCACTGAATAAACGTAGATAATTTGAGTTAAATGTTTCCTTTTCCTTTGCCACCACAGTGTTTCAAAAGCTACAAATAGCTGCAGATAGTCATTGAGCTTCTGATTAGCTCGTCACTGGTGAATTAGAAAAAAAAAATTAAACAGTGAAACTCATCCAGGGTTTAGGGAACACTTTATGGGCAGCTCAAAGACTAAATTTTGAGCTCTTGCACACAACTGCTTTAGTTTCAGACATTTACTTTTTTGGACATCAAAGTAAATGTCCAATGGGATTTGAGTAGTTCAGAACCCCTACAGATTTCTACACAAAACATTTCTGTTTTTGATTATTCTGCCATACAGCTAAATGGAAGGGAAAATATCTAGTTTCTCTGAAAGTTATAAAATAAAGAGATGATTTTTCTGAACTCTACTTCTGTATGTTACAGCATATTTGTATTCAAATACAATTTTTTTTAAGCTTACATTTTGGCATTGGGTGATCTTTGGCATCATTACTATGGTAAGCCCAGGTTCCTCTATTAGCAGCTTTCAATCCATCTGTATTGTTGGGTCATGTTATTTTTCCTATTCAATTATTTGAGGGTTGGTCAATTAGTCAGTTTGTTGGCTAATTGAACAGTTATATGGTTGTTGAATCATGTACTGGTACTGACTGAAATGCAAGACCTTTAAAATGAAGTCTATAGCTTTGATCAATGTGCAGCATTAAGTACGAAAAAAAGAAACCTGGAGAATGATTGTGCTGCTTCTGGATTTGACTGAGCCTGATGGACCGACACCAAAATATGCCTCCCTTAATTACCACTGGCTGTTAAAACGTCACAGTTGGGCCCATACTGCTTTGATTTTTAACTCATCTCTTTTCCTTGGACCAGGTAAGATTCTTCTATCGTTTTACCTTTAGGAGGGATTTAATGCAACAAATGTGAGTTGATCTGGGTAGGTCCATGTGGTTCTTGAAGAAATGACACCTTGTGAATCTCTCCCAATGGCATTTTTATCGCAATCCTCTAAGGTTTTGACAGTACCTCTTGTTTGTCCATCTTCTTCCATACTTTTTCCTTTCACTCGATTTTCCATTGATATGCTTGCAGCAATCTCAGTGTATTTGGCAAAGGCCTTTTATTACTTCTGCCAGTGGCAGTTTGCTGGACACTGAAGTAAGAAATAACTTCCAGCAGAACTGCTCTATGATGATATAATAGAGCAGCTCTTCTATATTAAAACGTATTGATATTCTTATTCAACTGTTTGGGAGTTTTAATTTCTTGTGATCTATCAATCCCCAAATTAAACTGAAATAAACATGAATTGTAACACTTTATATGTAGTTAATATAATACAGGTTGAACAGGCTTATCTTACATTTTAAGATGTTTTATTAATCATTCCTTGATAATATTAGCTTCTACTCTCTTTTCAACAAGCTTATACGGGTGTAAGGTTTACGGAAGACGTCGACTTGCTCTCGCGATATTTTGGACCAGTCGTGGGATTTTAGAAATCGAGGGTTGTGGCAGAGGGGGTAAGTGACCACATAAACTGATAACGGATGTGTTCTCATCTGTGTTAAAATACAGCATCTGTGTGACCGTGGGCTACTCGTGTTTGGTGCAGTAAAACCAGAGCTAAACTAGACGCTGACGTCTCATATTTACAGTGACAGTTAGCTTCTAATATGGCGACGGCTGTGTGTCAATGCAGGGCTACGGCTGCTTCATGGAAGCGACTGGAACCAGATGAACCTCTGTAGCGTCCTTACAGCTGTTCTGTGAGCGCAGAGTGATTATTTGCAGGTCAGATATGGAACACCCGATAGGACAAAATAACTGTTGTGTTTGAATAACATGATCTGTACGTTTTCTATGAGAACATGGAGTTGTAAGCAACCACCGCAACCGCCCCTTATCGATAAGGCTTTGTTCAGATTTGCTCAGAGCGTTCTCATTTACAATCAATGCTGCATTTATTTACATATTAGTATGAACTCTGATCTTGGGCAAAAATCTGATTATGACAGTAAGGTTGTGTCACATGTATAAACCATTGAAATTCGTTCCCATATTTTAAATAGCTTTTTATTAAATTATAGGTGGAAGTAAAAGGAACTCCTTAATATGAGTGATGATAAACCCTTCCAGTGCACTGCTCCTGGGTGTGGACAGGTAAATCCTTGCAGTTTTCAGTCATTAAAAATAGCATTAAAAATAAATAACATACACTTCATATACCATATGATCCTTATCATGTATCCTCATTCATATTATACACTTATATATAAAGTATTACAATAAAAAGTAACAAAATGTAAAGATGTTTGGGTTTTTTGCCACAAGAAACAATAACATCTTTATTATTATTATTTTTAATTATTATTGTTATTATTATTTGTACTTTACATAGAGATTCACTAATGAAGACCATTTGGCTGTCCACAAACACAAACATGAGATGACACTGAAGTTTGGCCCAGCAAGAAATGACAATCTTATCATTGCAGGTGAGTGCACTACTAATTTCAGGTGGGCTACTTTAATGACAAGTATTTTCTTACTTACAATAATGTCAATTTCAGATCAAACTCCTACACCTACCCGCTTTTTAAAGAATTGCGAGGAAGTTGGTCTCTTTAACGAACTTGCAAGTCCTTTCGATCATGACTTCAAAAAATCGACTGAAGATGACATCAAAAAGGTGTTAAACTAGCTTCTCGATCATCTTACTTTTCGATCCATTTTGAACTTTTTTCCTGATAATCCTTGTTCTGTTTTTGGTTCTTGTTTTGCAGCTACCCCTGGATTTGTCGCCTCTTGCTACACCAATTATACGCAACAAAATTGAAGAACCCACAGTAATAGACACACATAGAGACAGCCCACTGCCTCATCCTGAATCCACTACAAGTGATGATAAGGTAAAGCTTAAAAGTCTGCTTGACTTGTGTCTTGTGATTTTCTCCTGATTGTCTTATCAATTTAACTTTCCTGTATAGTTTGTGGATTTACTGCTATGAGCTGCTTGAAATACAGTACTTGTGTAATGATAACAGTCGGGCCAACGTTGTGCATTAGCCCGAGAGTTATCGGGCCAATGAAGATTTACTTCTTCTCCTGATAAATGAGTGACTCCATCATGTTAGAGGTGTACAATTAACTGATCTGGTGTTGATGACGCATTCCTGCAGCTATGGTCTTGTATGGTGTTTTCAGGACTTATCTTTGCAGCCAGCCTCACTGCCAACATCCACTATAGTCCACCCTGCATCCCTCCAAGTTCCCAATGTACTTCTAGCAACCACAGAGGCTAGTGTTGTAATACAGCCAGCTCTCCCATCGCCAACATCTAGCTCTGTTATTACCCAAGTCCCCTCCACTAATAGGCCTATAGTGTAAGTAACAAAATGCGTCCATTTTAAAAACATCTCAGTTTCTACCAAATCACTTGTGCAGTATATTGTGGTGAGCTTGCATTTTATGCGGCATGCGCTTGTTCTTTTGTTGTTGTTTTTTTAATTTATTTGCATTCTGAAAATTTTTTGTTTAACTGCAAAGAAATTATGTTCATAAAGTAAAAAAAAAAAAAAAAAAAATATATATATATATATATATATATATATATATATATATATATATATATATATATATATATATTGGTGTTGTTCAGATACTGTTTATTTTTTTGAGTGAGAAGTGAAGTAAGAGATTGGGTTTTGTATTTAATCTTCTCTATTAGAAAGCATTTTTCAACTGCGTGCCCATAATCTTTGGCTGTTCGACTGACGTTAGATTTTTTTATTACAGATTTTCTCAGGCAGAGTTGAATAAGTCAACTGAGTTTGGACTGAAACCCAGTGTTTTATTCAGACCTTCATATACACAATTCATGAAGGTCATAAACTGTGTATATGAATCCACTTTGTGCAAATCATTAGCACAGGCAGCAAACAGAAAATTGGCATGATACTGCCACCACTATGCTTGACAGTGGTGGCTACAACACTGAAGCCTGATCTTGAAAGTGCTACCTTGACTCCTTGACATATTGCACAGAAAGGAAATAATTTTAAGCAAACACTGATTCTGTAAGGACGAGTGGAGAGATATCCCACCAGAATTATTCCAGAAGTTTGTTGATTGCGATAAGGAATGTGTTTTCTAAGGGCAACTGGCAAAGGGACGTTCAACTTAAAATAAAAAGATGCATTTGAAGCATGTGTATATGTTTTTGATACTGGATTTGAACACAAGTTTGGATGTATTTTGGTTAGAATTTATGACTGTTCGTCTGTGTGTCTGAAGCAAAGCTAAGTATATACATTTTTGCTAATCTATGCATTCCTTTAGCTTGTTCTAAGAATTTATTGTAGTGCTACTTGAGTATAAGAAGTAGAAAACCTTTTGAATGTAGTAAAATTGTGAAGAAGAAATGTATTTTCAGGAACAACTATTTATGATTGCAATGAGTATCAGAAGAGTTTGACAAACTCAGTTGATTTTTCTGCATCTGCCCTGAGGAAATAACACTGTATCTGAGCAACACCGATCATTATTATCAGGTGTCATGTAAAGTCTTTCTTTTTCGTCGAGTCGTTCCTGTATGGTCTGTGATATTTGCATTTTAGAGTAGAGGTTTAGGAACTTATTTTTTTATTTATTTATTTATTTTGTTTCCTTTATCTCTGTCATGTAAATTTGTCATAATTGTATACTGATAATCATTCTGTCTTGTAGGGATAGTTTTGTCATTTGTTTTCCAAATCAGGTTGTGTGGCGTTGTCAGCAGTCAGTATTTCACATTCGGTAGCTTGTGACCAGTTACGTAGGTTAAAGAAATACTTTTTACAAAAGAGTGGATAAAGTGACTTGGATCTGAAGCGGACATGTTCTAAAATGAATATCTTTAAACATTTCCAGCCCCAAAAAAATAATGTTAATCCTGTTTTTATGAACCTTTACACTGCTGTTTCTTACGCTGTGGATGGTTATCTACTTTAAAGTTTCCAATTTTTAAGAAAAAGGGTTACATTTACTTACTTTTCAAATCAACAGGTGACTCAGTTTTTCTGTCATGTCACTTCACCTGCTTTGTTCAGCGAAGCAGGAGTTTTAATTGACAACAAGCATGGACCTTCAGTTTAAATAGCTGGTTTATGCAATTAAAATAACGGTGTAACTTTGGTTCTTACTCTGCTATTACCAGTTATTAGCACCAATCAAAATTACTTTCTTTTGCTTTCAGTAAGTCTTGGGCCACTATTTACAGCAGGTAAACACTGACTGTTGACAATAACTCTGCAAAACCTGAATTAAAATGAATCAGTTTATTCCTTCAAGACATTCTGTTTATGCATTGATTGCACAGTTGTTTTGTATTTTACTTAATTGTGGTTTCTTTTCTCTTTTAGCCCAGTGACTGGTACCTTCCCTGTGCTCTTACAGTTGCCTAATGGCCAGACCATGCCAGTTGCAATACCTGCATCAATAACAAGCTCAAGTGTACATATCCCAACTACAATCCCAGTGAGTGCTTTACCAAAAATAATTTTCACAAATTGACTTCCAGAAATTACATTCTGTGTTGTATCAGATCTTTTGGGTTTTCTGTATTTTGTCCTGGTCAAACGCAGAATTCAATTGCTGTAACAAACAAAGATACTACATAGAGATTAAATAGGCATGTAACTGGAATCAACCAGCTTTTAGCTTGAGGAATTGGCTAGTTACTGGTCAGCACCAAACTGAAGAGTCTGATGTTTGGGAAACAGTGAGTTTTGCTGACCTGCTGGCTTCTCTTTTTAAATGTAATTACTTGTAGCATATTCTTGTTTTAAAATTGACCTGGATACACAATTTCACACTTAAGTAAGTTTAAAATTATCTCTCCAGAAATATTACTCAAAATTGCATAAAACACATTATATTATACAAAGGAACTCTGAGAGATTCTCTATCGTGATTTGGCAGTCACCTCAGAGAATAATGAACTTACAAGTAAAACAGTCTGCCAGTGCTAGAAAGAAACAGGATTTAGCTAAGCTGCTTCAGGCTTCAGGCCAGGATGCCTTACAGAGCTCTGTCCTTGTAGAATTAAACAACCAGGTTTTCATCTCTGGCACAATTGAAAGGTTGTACAGAAATGCTTTTTTGATTGTCTCAGTAATATAAACCTCACGAGTGGTCCGTACAGTGCAACTCCCTCACGTTGTAGCCTGTCTTATTTTGCGTGGAACGCTGAGCAGCAAATGATCATCCCCTGATAGAGTAGGGTTTCTCAACGGGGGCGGTACCGCGTTCAGAGGACGGCAGGGGGCGCTGGCGGGAATTTTTACAAAAAGGGGGACGCGCTGGGATTCCTTTGGGGGGCGTTTGCTCGAAGGTAAACTTTACACCTTATATGCACAATAATACCAGTTTAGACTTTGAGCAATTTGCTAAAACTGTGTTGTGTAACATTAAAACATGCTTAGCTGCAACTGTATAGATGGTCGCTCTTCTTCTCTTCAGTGTTTCTGTCAGCTTCTCCTGCTACTGGTAGCTTCACCGCATCAGTTCAGCGTCGCACCGGCTGATGACGTTGCTGTGATTCACTTGTCTGGTGCCTGATTTTCAAATATTTATGTTTTATTTTGGATTTTTGTACATATGTTATGGCAGTGCTGTGGATCATGTCAAAGCAGCAGCTTGTATTAAAACGCTTTTTATTGTCCGTCTGGATGTGCCCGCTTCCATAGATGTTCAACGAAATGTCGCTCTTATGTAACTAAAATCACGATACACTCACTGTGTATCAATGAACCCCTCCATTGGCGATACCACGATAGAGAACGTTTATTTTATAGAGTTAACATGGGTGCTAAAAGTGACCAGTATGAAAAGGTAGCACCACAGCTCTCGCAACAAGAAAGAAACTAAATAGGACATAACGGTAAACCAAGAGAGGTTTACTGTAATCAAAAAAAAAAAAAATGGTGAGGGACCTGGATAATGGACAGGGGTGTGCTGGCCCCAAAAAACTGTGCCTCTATCACAGTGTTGATATCAGGGGAAATGGAGGGAAGCCTACATCTCCCCTGTCTGATGTAGCCTCTGACAAGTAAAGAAGGGCTAAAATAGATGGAGAACACGAGCCACCAGTGGGGCTCCCTTTTCCTCAATCATCTCCTCCTCCCTACCTCTCTCAAGTGCTCCCCACCTCCCTCACTGTCTCTCTGTCAGTGGCTGTGAGAAGGGGCCTAAATCTGGCCTTCTGACTCGTGTCTCTCCATCCTCTCCTCAGCTTCCCTGTCCATATGCTCTCACTCAGGCAGGCAGAGGTTCATTAGCGTGCATGCTGCATCTCCATGTGGCGCTGCCTCCGCAAAATAACAGGCCATCCAACCTAATGAGGCTGAGATATGGGGGGAAACTCTGAGAGTCTGCCATAGCTTTGAGTGTTTGTGTTGCGGGGTGAGGAGGAGGGGGCCAACACCAGGCTTTTTGCCGCCGAAGACTAATTTTCTCTGCTCTGATCTGTGTCTGTGTCTCTGTTGTCAGCTTGTCAGACCTGTCACCGTAGTGCCTGCCGTCCCTGGAATCCCTGGACCTCCCTCGCCACAGCCTCAACCCATCCAATCAGAAGCAAAGCTGGTATTTATTAACTCATTTACATCAGATATCAGTTCCATGCTGTGTCTGTTATTTCCCATCTAAGGGAGATGATAACAGCCAAGGTAATAAGAGGATCAAGCATAAAAGGAGTAATACAATTGTTAGCCACGCCCCCCCGCCCAGGAAGATTTTAATTATACTTTTTTCAACAATCCTTCTGGTGTTGATGCGCTCAAAAAACATGACACTTATGTGCCATGTTTTTTGTGACACATAAGTCATAAAAAACATGACATGTTTACAAAACGCACAATATATTATATGGTCATTGGCAAAATTTTATCTACAAATAGTAAAAAATGATACATTAAAGCTTTATCAGAAATAGTTTTAGAACATAAACTAGAGTTGGACTTTAAAATTTGTTGGTTGATGGTATTAGACTGTTTTGAGCTTAACCAGCCCTTGACGCTAACATGCTAGTTGAAAACTCAAAAATATGTTTTGTTTTGTTTTTTAACAACAATCTTCAGAGTAGAAGAGTTGTGAAGAAGACTTAAAACCCACTTTTAGATCATTACTTATTCTGTGATTGTCACGTCTTTTACACCTCAGGTCTTAATACCGAATGGGGATTTGAAGTCATACAACCAAAATCACTTCCCTAATCCCCCTCAGAGAGTATTCCCAAACTTGTAATTATTATGAACTTAAAGCAGTGAAAAATATTTCTTTAAAGAGTGTGGAGTAATGATTTGAAACAAAGTCAAAACAGCATCAGCACAAGTTTTTCACTAAGTAGCGGCACAGCAAGATTTTCCTGTGTTGCTGATCTGAGAAATATGATGTCCAACAGGATGAGCTATAGGCTCGGAGCGCGTTTCCTGAACAGATCATGCAGTGATACATGCAGTAAAGATCGATAACCACTACTACTCGGGCAACACCACATAGTTTAATTTTATGCAAAATGAAGTTTCTAAGATGCAATAAACCTTTTTTTATATATAATTTTAACCGACCTATTGGGAACATCCTGAAATAAACCTAAAAAATTGCTTCAATAAAAATAATGGATTATTAAAATTAAGATGTCAAGAGTTGTGGTAGGTCATTAAAAGTGCCTTAAAAGTCTCAAGACAACTACTAATCCTTTATATGGGATGAGGAAATTATTGTGTTATGTAATCCAGTATCGTCCCTTACAGTTTGTAGGGTTAACTTTAACTCATCATTTTATGTCAGGCCCATTCAACATATGTAGATAAAGGAAGTATGTTCTGAAAGACGCTACAGAGCTTCACAATTAGAAACACTGTATGTGTGAACAGAAAATTTAAGGCGCCTGAAATGTCAAGACTATAATTGTTTTGTCTTTGCTCATAAAACCTATTTTTACAGCAAGTGCTATCACACATACAGTTACATTGCTTTGGGTTCTAATATAACTAAAAAGACTGCTTGTTACAGGATGTGTAGAAAAAAGCAATTTTTTAATGCTGATGAATATATTTATTAAAGATGAATTAAAATCAGCTCCATGGGGGGGTAAAGCAAGAACTGCTAAACATATATTGACCATATATCACTCACTGAGACAAATAAAACCAATTTGGAAAGTGTTCAGAATAATTTGTTTAAATTAATTTAAAATAATATATACTCATTAATAACAACCCTTTGATTAACAAAATAAATAGCCAATTATCTTTCAATCTTAATTTAGACTGACCTTTTACCAGTCAGTTTCCCTTTATTTTTCTTTCTTCTATAACCTTGGGCTATAGAAGACTTATGTTTCTCAGACACATAAGTCACCAAAAACATGACATATTGTCTAAAATTCAGCAACAATGGTATCAGATAAAAGCAACGTGAAAGAATTTCTTTCTTGTTTGAGAAAAGACACAGTAGGAAAACATTAACGATGGGAATATTGATGATTTGTTACAACAATTTCTAAAAAGAAAGCTGTTATGTGCAACGTATGACTTCTTCCAGGAACTCTGATAACTGTACAGAAATGATTATATTTTTGGCATCATTTTGTTTCCTTCCCAGCTTGAACCACCTGCTGGAAACTATCTCTGAAACAACATTCAATTGAATAAGGCATTTGTTGTTATGCAGGTGATAGAGAAAAAAAAAAGTTTTGTAATTTGTACCTCTTTTTCTTTTTTTATAGCTTTTGTACTTCTGACAATGACATTTTAAAAATGGATTTCATATGGTGTCTTATGAAAAGATAATTAGATGTATTTGTGCAAAAGAAATGCATCATATTAACCCTCTATGTTGTGAGGATGGTCACAGCAGTTCTATATAACAGAAGTGATAGTTAAAGCCCACTGTTCTGAAGTGTGTGGGCGAGACATCAGAGGCAATATGATGAAGCATAGATCACAGAACCCGTGAACATCGTGTAAGTGTTCACAGCATGCTCTGCCTGTGGAAATTATCAGCCAAGCTGTAAAGAAGTGTGTCTGTTGATTGGGAAGAACTGATCCTGACTGGTGGGGAATAATAGAGGGCGGGGCAGGGAGTTATTCAAGATCATGCAGAGTAGAGATGACAAACGCCGAGACATCGTTTTGCACAGCACGCCGTCACCAGGGCCAACCTGACGGGAAGGAGGAGGGGCACGAGGGGGGCAACGAGCGAAAGCCAGCTGGGGGCATCCTGGCAAACGCTCAGCGAGGCACATTAAGTCAGCCTCACCCCGCATGAAACCTTTTGTTCAGCAGAATCCTGCCTGACCTGCATCCCCCCCTCCTCCGCCCTCCTCACTAGCAGCGCCTCTCACCACACCCGGCTCATCAGCAAACACCTAATGAGCCTGCATCAAGAAAACAGACCCCCAGCTCAACCTGCCCGCTTCCCACCCCCACCCGGCTCTCGTGAGGAGGGGAGCCGGCGTAGACTGCACTTTACAAGGACTGATGATGCTGCAAAGACCACAATAATGATAATTAACTTGCTGAATTTAGAAGATTATGCTGTTAATTAGTTGCAAAATAAAGATAAGTAATATAGTAGCAGATGGTTGAATAACACCCATGAGATGGAGGGTTATTACACTGATGAGGTTTCTATGGCAGAGATGAAATATGGATCTGACTGGCTTTTCCCTCATTCTGCAGGCCATTCCAGGAGAATAATATCTTGTTTCTGCCAGAAGAGCTTCTGGAAGGGTATTACACGATAAACTAATTTGGTAGATAGATTGGTCTGGCAAAGGTAGCTGTTAGAATAATGCGGTGCTCTGTTTTGCCATGTAAATGTATTCTCTCTCACTTTGTTATTGCTTGGAGAGCCTCATTCACTTTCACCTTGTTTGCGGAAGGTTTGATGTTGAAAAAAATTGACCTGTGAATTTCACACACTGGCTTTTAGAGGAAGAGATCCTGCAAATAGACAGTTTTTATTTCAAGTCATCAGTAGATTTCACCAAACACCGTTTTTTTCTTTCACTATTAAACATGCGATGTAACTGTGCGAAGCCTGACAAGTCGTGACAAAAATGGGAAAGATGACATTTTTTACGGGTCTTTTGCTAACTATCACTTCTGCTAACCAACAACATTTAATTCAGTTGTGTGTTAAGTATTTAAGTGTCATATACACATGATTTTTTTTAGCTTATAAGTGTTTTAGAAGCAGTATCATAAATCAACCATATTTTTTCTTAACGGTCTATGAAGAAAACTTGAATATTAATTCTTACTAAACTAAATGTAGTCAAATATGCTGTACAATTGGATATTTTACAATATCTAGTAAATGTTCTCAGTAATGACATGAGGAGTTTTTCCTGTTCTGTCTCTGGAGGACAGGAAACAGACCCCCTCTGCAGCTAGTGCTAAGCCTTCTCTGAAGCAAGATTTTAAGATCTACTCACTACATTTTTTTTACTGTTTTTATTTCAACTTTTCCAACACAGCTCTCTCTCTCTCTGACAGCATGTGATAGAGATAGAAAGCAGCTTTTTGGCTAATTCTGGCATTTTTATATTGATATGATTATCAATATGCATTTCCCCTTTTAAATTTTTAAGTAGCCTATAGCATTGTATGACTTTAGAAGCTAGTAACTATAAAAGTATTCATAATCTTGCTTATTTATGACAAATGCTGCAATTTCTAACACAGCAACTGCAGATGAGTAAAAAACTTTAAAACTAATGTATTTTTATTGCAGAAGCATAATATTGCACTTGAAATAAGTTGAAAAATGCAAGGTTATGATGTGTGCAATAATTTAGAGGTTTTAGTGTTTTCCAAGTGCATTACTTTAGCTGGCTGACAGGGACAGCTGCATGAAGTGTTTGATGACTGAATGGCCAACACGCATTTTGTTTAATGTCTAAAAAATAATTGAGAACAGTGAAAATAATTTTAATAATTTGAGAGATGCCTGTCCGATTTCCTATCAGATACAAACTCTCTCGTTTATTAAAAAACAATTTTAAATCAAAATATCTGAGATGTATTAATAAGTTAGGATTTAGCTGTACACACATAGTTTTAAACCGCTTCTTGTTTATAATAATTGTTTTTCAAGCTGTTCAATAACCATCTGACCTCTTCTGTTCGCAGAAACTGAAAGCCACATTAAGCCAACAGCTTCCTCAGGTAACCAATGGAGATGGAGGCGACGTCCAGACCAGTGCAGTAACCCACAATGTTAATCCCGCTTCCCCTGCTCCGACACCGACTCCAGTCCCGACTCCATCCCCGGCGCCGGCTGCCATCCTAACTCCGGCTCCCCAACTGCCTACAACTGAGGAAGCCTCCACACATTCCCTTCAGCAGCCAGCCACCTCCACCACAGAAACACCCGTAGGTTTTCATGCCAACAGTCCAACTTGTACCCTGAAAACACCCCACTTAGTGGCAGAAGATGTTGTTGAGGTGTGCCTCTAAAATTCAGCAGGTATTTTAATGATGATCTGTTTGCATAAAACAGAGTATCAAAGAACAAATTTGCCAACTGCTTTAATAAGATTTTTTTGTTCTGAAACTCTTCATATTTGACATTCAGTATATTCACACTACCCTAACTGTAGTGCTGAAGTTTTCCCATGAGCAATCATTGAACATCTTTTGAGAACTACATGCATGTATGTCCTTCCCATTGTCACTTTTCAGGCTTCCCCTGCTCCTCCTGTGCCAAATCCTCCAACCACAGGGGGCCGGCGGCGCAGAACCACAAGCGAAGACCCCGATGAGAAGAGACGCAAGTTCCTGGAGCGTAACCGGGCCGCAGCTTCTCGCTGTCGACAGAAGAGGAAAGTGTGGGTCCAGTCTCTGGAAAAGAAGGCTGAGGACCTGGGCTCCATGAATACACAACTACAGGTGATCCCAGACACCTTTTGCATGCAACAACCTGTTTATTTATTTTGTTCAATTCTTTTGTGTATGCTAGCATTCAGATGGATAAATATGTGTGTGTATTCAGCATGCATCATGAAGAGATGTTGCACACTCTTTTCCTCCTCTGCTGTGATGAAGTCATTAAAGCCGATTAAGCCGAGCTGCCGTGTGACAGCAGTAGAGTGTGAGCCCTTTACGTCGATACGTCCCTGTCAATAAAGATGTATCCTCCAGATGTCAGCCGCACACAAGCGTGTCGCCGCTTCTGTCTCTGCAGTTTACCGAATGGCCTCAAAAATCTCCCAGGGAAAAGGTGTCTTTTTGAACCTTCATTTTGCAGGAAGCAATTAGGATCTGATGCTGACAAGTTCGAAACAGTTCATGTGTCTGCTGTCTCTGCTGATAAGTGTGAGTCGGGGGTGCGGCACATCGGTGTTCCAGACAATTAAATGAGATGTGATGTTTACTTGCTTACCGTCTTGTTTTTTTTTTTATCAAAGCAGAGTGAGATACGTAGGAAAGAGAAGGGGAATACTCGGCAGCATAAAAAATGCTTCAGAATAAAACACCGTTCAAAATCAAGTTATCACTACATTTCATGTTTGTTCTGTCTACAATTATATTTGAATGAGAGAGGATCAAAACTAAGACGTAGGTGAGTAAGAGCAGGTATATAAACAGAGAAAAGTGCCCCTTGTAAATAAGAGGGGAACAACATGTGGTAGAGAATATAAGGCCACTTTATATCAAAGCATTAATCAGCAGAGCAGCTTTTGTGTGGAGAAGAAAAAAGGAAAAGAAACCCATGCTGACATGGCCCAGCTGATCAGCGAAACTGCCTCTAATGATGCACAATTATTTTAACATCATCCTTAACTGGCTTTTTAATGAGGTGTCAGACCAGACAGCTCATAGGGTTCCTAGCATTATCCAAAGCCCAATTGCTCACTTTCGATTAAGTTAGAAACGAGTTCTAACTCTCCATTGTCCTGTTTAGGTTACTTTAACTTGTGGCTGTGGTGTAATTTGATGTAAACGATCCTTTAAAGTAAGCGGCAGATCTGTCGTCATGCTCCCTGTGTCACATTTTTAGTCAAAACTTTATCTCTGTAATAAATTGGAAGGAGTATTAAAAAAAGAGCCCACCTGTGTTTATATTAGCTTTAAATGGCAGCAGACATGCTGGAAGCATTCTGAATATGGTGCTGGCTACATGTGATACATATGCTCCTTCCAGCTGTGTTTAAATCTGGCTTACAATAGCTCAGCCCTGCCAACACCAGCAAAACCAAACAGATGGAATCAGATAAATTGGCTGCTTTTAAACTAATAGATTAAGCCACTCGCAGTCCTTTAAAGGAGAAGAGAAGGAGCTTAAATCTGCCACTGGTTGTTGCGCGGGCCCCTGGCCGCTCTAAATCCAGTTAAAGTCACCTTCAGCGTAATGTGGCTCTCTTTTACGACATGCAGAAATCCTCAGCCCTCTTGGGAGCTGTAACGACACAGGAGTGTAAATCTCTGCAGCCTCTACGAAGTTGTACTGACAAGCCTAACAGCTCACCTCTGACAAATGTGCTGGTTGGTAGCCAGTGAAGGCCCATAATTATTGTGCAGCAAGCAGTGTTTTATACTTTATCCTCTATTAATTTATTATATTGTTTCTCCATTCTTGTGTTTGTTGTTTTCTCAGGGGAAGAAATGCAAGTTCCCCGGAATAATGCACAGCACTAAAGTACAAATGGGGCCCTGAATATTGTAATTTAATGATTTCGTCATTAGCTCTAAAAAAATGTTGCTATTCCTACGGGACGAAACAAAGGCAGATAGAAGCTGTACTTGTGTGCGCGTTATTATTCATGTTTACTGCATGGATGAGAGGAAAAGCTTTTGCCTATTATAATTACTAAGGGCATGGGTGACATCTAGTGCCATAAGGTGCAGATTGCAACCACATCAACAACCAAATATCTGCCTTTTTAGGTTCAGTCCAGCAAGAGTACAAGGCTGTTCAAAAACACTTATCATTGAATAGCTTGTATGTAGAATTTACCAAGATGTCAAGCTTACAAGAGAACAACAGAAAATTAATATGTAAACATTGTCTAATAGTCAATTTAATAAGTGTAAAATTGTAGCACAACATCTAACACACAGATATAAAATTTTCCTTCTTAGAAGTAGCTTTTTGCCTTTAAATATTTTTATACACAAAATCTGTGAAATGAAGCTTTGACCTGCTAATACTGATTTTAGCCTATTGAGATTTCCCTTTAAGACAATAGAAAAAAAATGAAATGACTGCAATTTAAATACATTCCTGGTGTGACTTATCATATTAGAAGTAAGGGGAAGGTCACGTCATGTGTGACATAAATATGGTTGAACAAATACTTTGAAATGAAGGCAAATTGCTCATCATTTTGACAGTTTATGCTTTTTTTGAGTAAATAGAGGTAATAAATCTTTAGTGTCTGTGTGAATTCTCCAGATAATGTAGGTCCTTACCTACATAGGAGATTTCATTTCTGAATTCAATGTGTTTTATATCAGGCATGATTTGAAAAGCCAAAAGCTTAAAGCTGAGCAACTTTGTAGACTGTTCAGCCTTCCTGTTATCATTTTGAAGTCTCGCTGTCTTCTTCTGTTTCCTATAAAATTCCTCTGTCCTAATTGGTACATGTCTCATTGATACTGAGCTTACCAAACCAAAGAGTGTTGCTCTTGGTATGACTTGGTAGTGATTACTATAAATTATATGATTGGGAAAAAAAATCTAATTGTTTCCAACCAGTCAGGTCAATCAAATTAAAAATATTCAGATTATGCTCACCAGCTGATGTACTGGAGCTCTTCTAGTGCAAAAAATCAATTTTATTTGTTTTTATTTTTAAATCTATTTTTATATTTCTGTTTTCAGATATTTCTAGCTTAAGAAATGTTTCTTCTTCATAAAAATACTCAAAGCAGTGGTCTACATCTGATCTTGGTGTTGTGGCGAACCTTCTTTCTGAAGCGAGACCATTTCTTTGACTGCCGTCGTGTGTCTCTTGTTTCCTCAAGAATGAAGTCACCCTGCTGAGAAACGAAGTGGCTCAGCTGAAGCAGCTTCTTCTGGCTCATAAAGATTGCCCTGTAACCGTCATGCAGAAGAAGTCTGGCTATCACAGTGAGTAATGTTCCATTATTCTCAGCCTGAGGCTGCATGTGAAACGTGTCTAAAATGAGCTCCAGCTAAGGACATGTCTTAGCAGAAAGAACCATCGACATGTGAGGCTCTATTCTTTTTTTATTTTCTGTAAAACTTTTCAGAACTTTAGATCTTTATTGGTGGTACTGCTGTTCCCATCCTTTCAGAGAGGCCACAGCTGGCATGTGAAATGTTTTTCATCATCTGGCGCCCAGAAAAACATTTGTGAGATGACGTTCAATGTCTGCTCCTCAAGCAAGGTGTCTTGTTCTATGGCTTTACCTGTATGTGGTGATTAAACTTTTTTTCTCCCCCCGCTAATGTTTTCGGCTTACAGTGATCATCTTTATCAACACTTAAAGACTGTGCTGATTCTGAGGCTCTTAATTTAAATTTATTGTTGTCAGCTTACTCTGCAGAGCATCATAACATGTTCTCATTTAGAATCATTTCACCAATTTTTCTTCGTTTTTGTCAGATGGGGCCTCTGTCATTTTGGTTTTGTGGTCATAACTTACCTCCCCTCACAGATGAGCCACTCTGCAAAACAAGATTGCAACTCACCCCCTCCTCCACATTGTAGCCCTAAACACATCGCCTGACTTGTATTGACAGTGATTGCCACTAAAATGAGTCCATTAAAGCAGCAGTCTTGTCAAGACTGCAGAAAATTTTCATTGTGAATCGTCCGCCAAGCAGCCCTGTTCATTATGCATTTCTTATTGCCTACCATCGCACAGACACATTTCCTGTGCATGATGGGACTCAGGGCATCCAGGCTGGGGTTGAAGGCTCATTTGGTGTGGTGCAGATATTGTTCTTAGTGGCATCCACAAAAGAATATGGTCATCTTTCCTCTCTCTCTGGACATTTGTAAAGGTTGACACTTGAAGCACTTTTTATCCTGTTTTGGAGGAATTGCCCAGATACATCAGTTGATCTGGTTGGCAAGACCGATTTAATATGAGCATAAACAAAAGATCTAGTTCATATAGAGGCTATAAATTTTTTAAATAAAATATCAAACATTTATTCTGATATTAACCAAAACAAAATGTTTTACAGTGTTTGAAAATCATTTAAATATTGTTAGATCTCCTTTCTTAGACTTCTTAGTTTTTTATATACTCCAGCTTTTTAAAAATGTCTAATGTGCTTTTATGAATAATATAATCTATAATTAAATTTGTGCATACATCTTTTGTATTTTAAATAGAGAAATTAACAGCAAAGTCCAATAATGTAAAATAAATATAAATATTTCTTACAAATGAAAATCTGAGACGTGTGGTATCAATTTTTGATTTGCCTCCCTTTATTCTGATACCAAATAAAATCTTCTGCCACCAATTACATTCAGAAGTCACATAATTAATAAACATATGTGTGTGTGTGTGTGGTGGGTGGGTGGGTGGGTGTGTGTGTGTGTGGGTGGGTGGGTGGGTGGGTGTGTGTGTAATTTAATTTCAGTTTTAATCCAGATATTTTGATCAGAGAGGTTTGTCGGAGAGCAGTAGTGGACAAACAGCATTGTGAAGATAAAAGAACAAGAGAGAGAGGTCAGAGAGGAAAGCCTGTGGCGACATTTAGGTCATGAGGCAAAAGCTGGTGAATTGCTTTCAATTCATCAGCTGACAATTGAAAGCACTAAACAAAGAAATAGCCAAGAAGTTCATTGTAACTTTGAAGGAGATGCTGAGATCTGAAAATCTGTTGAAAGGACAGCGAAAAGCTTTTGGATTCCACAACTCCTGACAATTATTTAAAATTGTGAACATCATGATCAAACCATTCCCAATATAAAATATTACATTGATAGTGGCAGCATCATCCTGTGGGTTTGTTTTTCTTCCACAAGGATCTGGTAGCTGATTGGTTCTGACGGGAGTAAAATACAGGGCAATCCTGGATTAAAAATATTAGACCAGAGCTACAGTGGAATGATTTAGATCAAAGCATATTCATGTGTGAAAATGACCTAGTCAATGTCCACATTCAATTCAATTGAACGTTGACAAAATGTGGAAAGGCTCCAAAGGCAGTATTACTGTTGCAAGGCACTGAGGACCCTCTTGTTGGAAGTCACTGAAATAATCCACTTTGCTAATGAGTAAAGTCTTTTTATTAAACTCTGACCAATCCACTAAAGATCTCATCAAGCTTTATTTTTTCCCTGTTACAAATCCCATAAGGCTGCTCCGCCCTCCAGACCCTGTAATACCCTTCATCGTCTTGCCCAGGCGTAGCCGTGGCAGGTGGAAGGGAATAGCCCAGGCTGCCCCGCAAACAAGCCAGGACATGGTTTCGCTTGGCAAGCCGAGCTGTCCATCTGTTTACAGCGAAGGCCCGCTTAAAAAAAACAGGGGAGCAGAAATAAGCCCTCTTTGACCTGGGAAGCTGAAATATAGAGTATTGTGATAAATCCAGTGGCCACCACTTAGTGTTGTTAAAAGTAATGATGTTCACTTGAACATGAAACAAAACTCACCAAGTTAATTCATTCTGAAGTTAACCTCCTGAAACAGAGTTTTAAAAAAGCACTTTAGGGCAGCAAGGCAGCTGAAATCTCATCTTTTTTTTCTTTTTTTTAAAACATTCTCAGAGACCCAGTCATTAATTACAGAGAGCCATAACAAGTGACTTCATATCATTAGCCATATTAATTATCATTGTGCTCCTTATTCCTGTATGAAACAGAGCATGAGAGTGGAGTCTCTTTTTTTTCCATCAGGATCCAATTAATTCAAGGCAACTGCCTAACAGCTGGTGGCATTTCGACTCCAAGTCTTCCCTACTCTCCAGTGTGAGCATCATTAAAATCAGGTGCTGTAATCATCTGTCGCTGCAGTAGTTGGCAAGGTAACAAGAAACAAATGAGAATGCAGTTAGGGATGGGAAACAGTGCCACATGCCCCAGAATGTAATGCACCCTTATGATGTGGGTTTAAATTGACACTGGAGCGTTAATTAAAGGAAAGAGGTGCAAAAGTAGCATTATGGGGATTAATGAAATGGTTTGCAAACTCCACATGCAGATAGCTGTTTTGCAGGTATTAGGCTGCTGCAACAAAGCTATCCCGAGCCTTTTGGATGTCATGTGCTAGAATGTAATCCAATAAAGCAGCATTCTGAGCACGGTAGGCAAAGTAACCGAATGTTTCCCGATGCCTTCACAGTTTCCGACAAAGATGAAAGCTGCGAGGAGATGTCCGTCCCCAGCAGCCCGCAGAATGAGGCCATCCAGCACAGCTCCGTCAGTACCTCCAACGGGGTCAGCAGCTCCTCCTCAACGACCCAGGCGGTCTCAGCCCCGCCCAGCGCCGCTTCGGCCACATCAAAGCAGAGCACAGAGGAGAGCCAACCGCGGAGGGCCAGCACCCGGTCCCAGCCCTCAGGGAGCTGATCATCCCAAACTGTTCCAGAGCGTCCCACACTGGAGTGCTAATGGCTCTCAAACCTTTTTGTGACAAACAGAGGAAAGGGGTTGTCGCTCAGCTTCAGCTGTGGACCATACACTTTAATTTATTCTCAATTGTTTGGGTAAATGTTTGTTAACTTTTGTACTTGATAGTCTATGCTTTTAAAGATGCAATGTTTTCTCTTCACAAAAAAAAGCACTTTAGGTGTAACTTGTAAAAAACGTTGCTTTTAGTTGTTTTCATATACGTTTGACTTATTTATTTTGTACAGCAGCAAACAACAAAAAAAGTATTTAACAAATTAACATTTTCTCAACTATTCTACTTCTAACGGGGTTATTGAGATGAAATCCACACCAGATGTTGGTTGCAACCCAAACTGTGTGCAAATAAGAATTATTTTTAATAAACTAAGATTTAGTTTATCAACTAAAATAGAACGGAACATAGAACAATCTTTTTGGTAATAAGAGCTTTAATACAAGAAAAACAACCCACACCGTGAGGTTCCTACCTCCAAACTTAGCTGCTGGTGTGGCATTGTTGGGTTGATATCCAATGCTATTTTTCATCAGAACATGTTGTGTCCAACAGCATCCTAAGTGTTTTAAGTTTAGTCTGATTCTCACTGTAGTTCACTGACTTGCCAAAGTGTTTCACGGTAAACTTTAAATGAGCATCAGAATGTTTTTTTTTTCTTCAGCATAGAAGTCTGGCACTTGCACCCCCAGGTTCAGTGACTTATTTTTGTTTTCAGGGAAAAAGTGAACTTCTTAAATCTTTCTCAATTTCTCTTTGATTGGTCTTTTGTTCTTGAGCAACTCTTCTGATTATTCTATTGGCTCCTCTGTCATCAACTCAATGATGCACCAAAGTGCTAAAACTCAAATCAGAAAAATGCAACTGCAGTGAAATCAGTATGTTTTCCAGCAATGTTGGAAAGGTCTTGAGAAAACTCTTTGCTTTTATCAATCATGAGATACTTATTCATACGCCATTTAATTGGACTAAACCTAATTATATTGATTTGTACTGATATGGAGGATAGCTTTCTAAATACTGGCAGATTTGTTCTGATTTCCTGGCTGGCTGTGAATTTTTTCAACTTTTTCTGCTTAATTATTCTCTCCCACTTACTACACGTGTCTGAATGTATGTATTGTTTTGATTTCTTTCTAAATTTGCATTATTTTGGTTCTCACTAACCTATGGTGTGAATTTCATGCAAATATTCCCATTTGAGAACTATTTACTGAGAAAAAGGTTACGGTGTTCAACACTTTATCACCTGCTGTATCTTATTCTTTTTCAATTGAAGGCAGTCATTTGCTCCATCATTAAGTTTACCAAAGTGCTTAGAGGCTCATTTGTCTTAATTGATTCATAAGCACTCTCTTTGACGAAGGTGTTTTTTACTTTGTGTTCTTTGACCATTTTGCACATATTTAAGAGATGACGGGTTTTACTTTCCAAGAGTTTGTTGAGCACTGGCAGCTTTTTAGAAGTAGATTTTTGAATGCTGACACAAACATTACATAGCTGAATTTGGCTGAGCTCAGCCGTAGTGTTGTAGTGCAAGTTTGAATGTTTGAGCTCACCTCTGCATGTAAAATAGTCTGAGGGAGGTGAGCTGCTTAGATCTGTGTGTTTTCTCATTAACATTCCAGCTGTAGCCTGATTGTCCCTGAAGCAGTGATTGTAGGATTGCAGTACCTTTTTTTTATATATATATTTCTCAGTCTGTGGTGATGTTGACCTTATTCAGTGCCATTAATGTATTTTACATAAACATTTTTTTTAAAATGCCAATTAAGCTTGAGTTGATTGTTGTTTTCCCAGATTTAAAGGGTCCCATGAACATGTTGGTTCTGCAGAGATTTTCCTGCTTCGTAAACAGTTTGCTTTGCAAGTGACTCTTTATGGCTTTAGCATATAATGCAAAACTCTTCAGAACGTTAAGCTTTCTGTGAACAAGAACATTTTTACGAAACATTGTAAAAAAAAACAACATCAATGTATCATATGTGGTCCTTCTTCATATTTGATAGGGCTTTAGGATCTCAGCTCCATTAGCTGTCAAACTGACTCTTTAGGACAAGCCTCTTACTGACTCAATAGGGTTATCATGTAAAATGCCATCATTCAGATGTGAACTGGAATTACATCAGTTACATTAGTTACACTACAACTAAAGCTCCTGAATAATTATGACTATTGAAGTAACCGTAAGAAGCAAATTTCAACTTTAAAAGTCAGTTTACATTTTCCTTCTTAGTCTTTACTGGCTTACTACTGTGTAGTTTTATAAACAGCAAACACATTGTTTTCTTAAAATGTGATTTTTAAGGTTTTATTGTTATGTGCTATCTGCATGAGATAACAATTCTCTGCGAGAATTTTACTGTTTATTTATGTCTGAATTAAAAAAACAAAACAATATGAAACAAGTTATTACAACTTGACTTGTAGAAGTTCTGTGATTTTTTATTTGTTTTTGTTTTTTTTTTTCACCCGAGCTGTATGGCTACAAACGGGTTGTGATACTGTGTTGACAGTGTAATTGTAATGTGAAAGTTCTGTAAAAAAAAAAAAAAAAAAAAAACGATAAGTTGTTGTAATAAACCTTTTAATAACTCTTTAAATAGTTATCTGTCTTACATTTTGGATGCTGTGCATGAAAAACATCTGATTTCTTTATTTGATTTAATAAAGGACGTAAACAGTCATTATGGGATTGAAACAATAACCTCCACAATAGTTTGCTGCTCAGACCAAAATCCTAATGAATACTTACTTTGGTGTAGACTGCCACCTGGTGGATAATCGGTTGATCGTCTGCGCAGTCAGACCCATATGACGTCGATTTTGACACGGCTTGCTTTATAAGGATTTGAGGAATACAGAAATGCAGGTGTTATTGTCCTAATGGCAAAAAATGTGGACACAGCAGCAAGTTAAATATCCATGTTCCATTATGGACTTAAAAAACGGGACATTGGATCAATGGAAAAGTGGAGGCATGTGGTTCTAATTAATCAAAGCGACATTTGTACCCTGTGTGGAATAGGAACATATTTTCTGAGTTTTGCTGTATAACTTGTAGATGTGGAGTTAAAAGTGCAGCAGAAACAACCAAACATTTGCTGAAATTATTTATTGGATCAAAATACTAAATTTTTCAACAACAAATACAGTTTTTTTTAACTACTCTATTTTGTTTAAAAAAAATACAGTTGGCCCAGTTAAAATTTTTATGCAATATTTAATGCATTAAACTTCAAAATATTTATAGTACTTTCAAAGATTTGAAGTCTGTTTAAGACTTGAGATTTAGCGTTTGTGTATTTGCATCTACAGTTTGTATGATGTCCTTGAATGCATCACTATGAAGGCGGAATCTAAGAGGGAACATAAATTTTTCTGCTAATCATCTCTAGTTGCGTTTTAGCACCTTTTATGTTTCTTTCCGCTTTTACAAGGTATTTTTCAGCTCTTCGGTCAGTTTTAAAATGCAAATAAGCAGCGCAATAAGCAATACAGTAGGCTTGGTATCTAAATATATTCAACGAGGTGGTTGAATATGTCTGTCCACGGCATTATCAATTCTCAGTGATTATGAGATTTTTTTTGTTTTTATACATTTATTTTGTGTATTTTGTATTCTTGTTCCCAAAGAACAAGAATATTTTTACTCACAATTTAAAGCTTCTCCTGTTATTTCACATGCACTAGGCCAGAGTGCCCACCAGGTGGCATCCTTTTCTAACTCAACGGAAATGACTGGCTGCCATGGCAACAGCATGCTGTGACTAGAAAAATGTAGCACTTGCTGACTTTTCTCTCAAGGAAACAAATGTTTACATTTCACTCGAACTTCAGCCACCTTTCAGAACACGTCTTCATCCAGGCACTGAAGGAGTTCAGTCCAGGTGGATTTGGACAGTGACACAGTTTTGTAGCTTTTCTTCTCCTCCCACAGTGGAACCGAAATAAAGCAACTCAAATGCAGCTGAAACAGGTTGATCAAAATATAGCAGAGAAATGTTAGGAACTACTGTCAGCCTTATGCATAAACAGATGTATTTGAACAAATAAAAATGACTGAAAATGAATTAACAATGTTGTATAAATGTTAAAAATTATTTGCAAGCATTACCTAAAAGTCTTGAACAAAATGCAGGGTTTCATTCTGCTTTTCTTAGCATTCCTGTTTGATTGTGGGTCTTTCTGTCTGAAGTTTAGTCTTCAGTAAGGAAACCATGTTCTTTATTTGGCAAGGTGACTGACTGAACAAGCTGACAAATGGACCAACATTTTTCTCTTCTCTCTGTAATCTCCTCCGTAATAATCCACAGAATTTGTGGATTATGTCCATGTTCCAAGTGCTCTATTGACACACATCATTATCATGTAAATCGTGTAATTAAAATTTCTCCAACTGCAGTCTGAATATGTTTCAGTAATCAACAAAGCTTGCTTTATCTAAGTACAAGTTGAGCTAACTGTGTGTGTTTCCTGTGTAAACCACCATGGTGTGTTTTCCCCTGCCAAAGCTCCAGTTGGTGGCACTCTGACTCTCTGTGATGTTGCTTAACTAGGGCAGACGTGATTAGCTGCTGATCACAGAGCAGAGAATCATTAATGGTGCTATGTAGGTCACAGCATTGGCCAATAGCAGCGCGTTTTACTTTATGGATATTTAGAAAGCCCGACATCACGTGATGTCATGGTAAAAAATGTAAAAAAAAAAATCTGTACCTTTGATGCTGAATCAAAACACTCGACAAAGATTTACTGACTTCATTCTTGTGACATGCTAACTATTAATTCTGATTGTTTGATTAATTAAATCCCCCCGGCAAACAGCTCCTTGGTGTTAATTATTCATTCCATAATGATTTTAATGTAAATTTCATGATGGTTTTTATTAATGGATGCAAAGTGTTTAAACTTAACCCCATTTTCTTGTTGCAGCTGCATTATGAAACCCATATTTGAGACAGATCTGTTGTCTTTGTTAAAGAGAAACCTGATTTTGGAAATAAAAAAGATGTTAGTATATTTTTACAAAGACATAGAGGAGTCTGAGCTGTCACCAGAAGGGATTTAGAGTAGACGTATTCAACTGTATTCGGTGGTTTTGCAGTTATGGTCCTCGATAAATAAGCAGGATAATAATGTGGAGCTGATCTGCTGACAGTCGGGCTTCTCCAGCTGTTCCCATAAATCGACAGGTAGCGGAGTCCAGCTCTTAGCATTCCATGGAGGCAGACCGGCACTTAATTAGGCAAGGATTAGGGGCCAAACGGCCTCATTTACGTGAATTGTATCCTAAAGACAAACTGACTGCTCCGTCTCCTTCAGGGAGCATCTGGGGTAAATCTGAAAAACGCAGAGGTTGCTGAAATGAAGCCGCTCCAGGCCTACGAGTCCAGATTTCTTGACAATGAAGAGCCCCTTTCCCCCTGCTGGGGGGTGAGAGGGGTGCTGTGTTTGAGCGCTCGCTTTAACCCCTCAAATCCGGGGAGAAGCGAGATGAAACAGCTTGATTTACATTTAATTCAGATTATGTAAATACTCTGGTTGTGTCCCAAATCAAACAGGGGACACAATGCAAGCTGCCTGCGGAGGCCGGCAGAAACGGCCTCCATTGTCATTGAAATTAGGGGCATCATATATACATCTTTTATACATGGGGAGGACATTTAATTGAGCTCTTTGTGAGATATAGCATGTTCCGTGTACAAATACTGATAACTTGTCATTATTCTCGGTCTGCAGCCTCCACACACACTACCAGGGAAACTGAATCTGTTTGCTCTTGTTCTTGGGTGAAGGGCAGCCGGGCATCTGCCTCTGCCACCGGGGATGTGCATCTATTTAATAGCATTAAGGTGGTGTATCAGCTCAGCTATCGCTCGGTACGCGAGTGGATGCAAATCCTCAGTGGTTATGCGCACGTGCATGCAGTGATTTGGACTGTGCCAATCCCTCCCCTGGGCATCAGCTCTCCACAGAGTGTCTGGAGATAGTATGGCTCCTCTGCTGACATTAGTATGCTCTGAAGGTCTTTTCACACTGAAGGGGCTATTACACTATAGGCAGGTCCTATTTCCCCTCTTATCCTTGTTTCCCATGTGATTTAGCTTATTTTGTTATCAATATTTAATGTCGGTCCAGTGCACTCTGAGTGATGATGATACAAGGCTGCACAGTCTGCTGGAACTAAGAGGTTGTAGTTGTTTAGTCAGCACTTCATTGTTTCCCACAAGAAATATTCAGAGCAGCAATGTAAGCATTGTTTTAGGTGTTCCCTCAAATTAACTTTGTGTTTCAGACTGAGAGGCGCCTGTCATTATGCACCCAGTTTAGTTATCTCTGCCTTGTAGTCATTTTCATTTCTTTATCAGAAGTGTATTTCCCTTTAAAAATAACTTTGATAAAATACCTCACTGGTGCATTTGTCATATATGTTGATTGTCTCTCTGGACTTTGTTCTAGACTCTGTCCTTCCTGTCACACTGACTGAGACTTCTCAGGTCTTCCCACAATTCAGATTCATCCGAGCCTCAAGAACTTCTTTTTGGATTTGCAATTCATCACAAACTTACCAACAGAAATCATGTTAACCTCTTTCTACCATCTTAACCACAGCCTATGGCAGCATAACTTGATTTAGGAATGATGGATGACTTCCTGAATGTGACGTCTCCAGACCCTTGCAGACATTTCAGAGTTGTTAATGTCTCCTCCATATCAGATCCATGTCTGCAGCTGTCCTGCAGCCCCTCCGAGGTTGGTGTTTGAATTTTTCTTCTTTTTTTTTGGCATATATTGAAATACATAAATGGATAATTTTAGGAATGATTATCTTGTCATGGCTTGAAAAAAAATGATTGCATAGCAAATAGCCCAAGAAAGCATTAGAAATTTGTCAAAAGGGCTAATGTAGAAGATTTATGTAGAAATGTTTTGGGTTGATGAATTTTTAGTGCTTTTCACAGCTTTAATTGACTCTGCACAAGAAAGCCCCCGATAAGAAACAGTTATCTTATTGATTTCTGCTGTGATTATTTCCAATCGGCTGTATGATTGCCTGTTCTTGCATCCAGTCAGAATATTAGTGAATCTAGCAGAGAGTTTTCATGCACTCATCTGTGAATGTTAAATTTAGTTTAACATTTAATGTTGATAAATTAAATGTTTGATTGAATTGCACTGATTACACAATGAACAACATAAACAATAAAAAAAAAACAACAAGAACTTAGTTGACAATGTGGAATCACAAACTGGAACAATGTGACGACCCTAATCACAGTTATGCCTGAAACTTATTGATTTACTATAAAATGTTCAGACCATTTACCCCCCAGAGAGAAGCCAACCAAAGTCTCCTCAGCACTCCCTGGCCAGATGTAGTCTTTAGTCATTGAGTAACATTTCTGCACCAATGCTACAGCTTCAGTCAGGACGATGAGGTAGAAAAATGTCAGACCAATGTGAATTATCTGCATGTTGTCTTTTTGCATTTCTTCTTATATTGAACTGAATAATTATGTCTTTTCTCTGGTTTTATTTATTTTTATGTTGATAAGTGTCATTTGTTTGGTATGCCCATG